GGTCAAGAGCGTGCTGCAGTTCTTCACGAGCGATGCACTTCTGCTATTGCAACAGCTCAACTACGCTCTGACGCATCCTAACCATCTCGCAAGCCTCATCGAGCCGATTACCGCAGAGGAAAAGTCGGCTATGGACGCAGATCAGGACAAATCGTCGGTAACCACGCCTTCGGAAGTCGTTGACCCTGTAAAGCGGCCGTTCCTAGCGCGGATCGTACACCGACTCTTCCGATTGTCCGCTTCGATCTTGTCCACGCTGGTCACGATCAGTAGAGCTGAAACCGTGCTCATAGGCGAGCCTGAGGACTGGCCAATTGATCAGGCATTGATTGTCCCAGTGAGTACTTCGTGCACACTCAGTGACGGCAGGCATGCTGATGTATGATACCCAGCATTCAAAAGTGGTCCCCGGAGAACCTGCATCCTTGGGCACACTACTAGAGTTGGGCAATTGCTCCCTGGATGTCCTGCGACGTCTAGTCGACCGACCTGCAGCGCAAGCTGTCGTCAAGGGCGTGAAGACCGAGAAGGCCCTTGACGTGCACGACATCGTTGCGACAACGCGGCTTAATTTAGAGGCAGCGGTGCTTTACGCGGTCACGCAACTCGCGATGTGGCTTTCGAAGCCGGAGTTCGACGCAACTCCGAACGAGATGGATTTGGACGATGCGCTGGCTGAGAGTCAAGCTCCGGAATCGGTGAAGGAGCGCAGGGCGAGGAGGCAGTCCTCGATGTCGTTGGCGGAGCGGTTACGGAGGGGAATGACGGGGGAGATGGCGGCGGATTTGCAGTCGTTGTTGAACAAGGCAAAACCTATTGTAGCCAAAAGCGAGACGGTCATGGGTGAAAAGGACGTAGATATTCTACAGGTGCTGTCGCAGTTCGTACATGAGCGAATCTCTGTTCCGTCATAGTTAGATAGTGTACATGTAATCTCCTTGGCACATTTTGTATACCTTTGCTATCTCTCGCATTTTTGCACTCCATGCTATGTAGCACAATCTGGGTATTCAGCCCATGCATGGACATGTCCACTTCAATCACTCCCCATCGAGTCGAGCCAGCACTTCGGCATCCCAACGCGGGTGTCTAGAAGCTGAGAGCTAGGATTGTCTTGTCAAGACATCTGCTCCCGTTTCTGTGATAAGGACCATGTGTTCCGCTTGTGCACCACGTGCACAGTTCTACGTGACGTGATGAATCCGCCATTCCACGATATTATAAGCACGCTGCGCACCAGAGTACTTGCTGCCCACCCGTCCGGCCATATCCATGCTTTCGGGTTCGTACCTTGAATGATGATGGGCTAGTAAGTGATATGGTGAGCGTAAGAGACATGTTGGATCGACACAACACGAACCTCGATCGTAAAGCAGTCTCCCGGAAGCATGACGCCTGGCTCATCATTCACTTAGATTCCGGTCAGCTCTGCCAATCTCAGGGGTGGAATATCTCACTTACTATGATGCAGTATCCATGGTATCCGATGAAAATCTTCACCTATCCCATGTCCGGTGAACTGCGGGGAGACGCAGTAGTCCTTGTTACGCAGGAAGCTGTGTATTACTTTGCCAATGTTCTTGAAAGGCCTCTTAGGCCCGCATTCTGCAATAGCGAGCTCAAGAGCCGTCTCCGTGACTTGCACCAGATCCCGGCCCATGTCGTCCTCACTCAAGCTTGAGATTTCATACTACATTCACGACAGCAGTGAACTTACAACTTCGCCGACGAGGAATGTCTTCGACGTATCTCCGTGGAAGCCGTCCTTGAACACTGTGATATCGATATTGACAATGTCGCCATCCTCCAAAGGTCGACTGCGATACAAAGGTAATCTCAGCTCAGCTCGTCTGAATGGCGAAACCACGCAACTCGTCTGGGATGCCATGTGTGATGATGTTGTTCACACTTGTACAACAGGATTTTGGGAATCCTTTGTACAATAAAGGAGAAGGATATGCTGAACGCGAGCAGATTACTTCGTGAATCTTAGCGTCGATTGCCTCTGTTGTCCTGCCTTCCTGCAGAAAGGCCATCAAACTCATGCCATTTCAATGACAAACTCGAACAGAGATCACAGTGTGTATCAGAGGGGTTTACGTACCTTGACCAGTGTACCAGCGTACTTCAGAACATCGCTCGCGAGTCGAGCAGCAGCTCTCAAACCTACTTCGGTTTCGCTTCCAAGCTGTATTCGCCGGGAAGCCCAATGCTCGGACAACGGCTCTGGTATTTCAGACCCCTGATCTGACCGCGACAGACAGGCGTATCCTGGCCGGCGAATGTGAGCGGGCACTGCCCGCGGGACTATGTGCGATACGCCCCAGACGATGGGTTCCTTTGGGAGGACTACATTGAATTCCCCCCACCTCCACACAGCTTCGTCGGGAAGCCCGACGTCTTCCTCAGCGTCATCCGAGACTGGTCTACTGACCGAATACGATCTTGGGTGGGGCGACGGGAAGTTCGCGAGTCGCGTATGGTGCACATGAGGCGCGATACGTCGCAGGATGTCCCACCTGACCATCGGTGCCGTAGCGGTTCAAGTCACCAGTCACAGAACTCTTGCAAGATTTTGAGAGACCCTCGAAATTTGAGACGAGTTGACGAGCCCGAGAAGAATCCCCAAGATTTCAGGCTTGTACGGATCGCGACAGCGTGGATTCGAGTCAGCGACTAAGAGACGCTCGGGCCGGTGCGCGTTGAATAACTGTGGATGAAGCTACGGCCCAACCTCGTCATACTTCATGACATTCTCTTCGACGTTCCGCTTCACCCGTTTCTCTGAAAAGGCCAAGAAACCTATTGAAAAAACACATACTCACGGCAAGAGTGCTATTGCAGTTCAGTAGCCGTTTGCTTGGGACTCTGGTTCTCTAGAGTTGACGGCGGCGCGATGTTACGTCTACGGCTCGGGCTGTTCCGCCTTTCACGTCATACCGATTCCCGATTCTGTTCATGCCGTCGACAATCTGCCCGCTAAGAAACCATCAAGTGTAAGAGCGCTGGGCCTGGGGCCGGCCGAGGCTCGATTTATATACTGACATGCGACGCCCTCGGAGGAGGATGTGGGTAGACTCAATGGGTGCCAGTGGTGTATCAAGTTCCCCTCAATAGACTCGGCCGCTACTTTGTGCCTGAATTTCGTGCGCAATTCTACATCTATTTATCTTTATTACATCTCTTGTAGAACCAGCTCTGAAATCGCGGAAGAGTCAGGATGGGTGTACTACGGTGTCGTCTAAGACCCCGTTCGTACAGCCGTGGCGTTATAGCAAGAGCCTCTCTCTGATCGGGCTATCATGCATTTAGATCTCATCTCCGAGGGACGCCCTATTGCGTGACTAGTTCCCTCCGCATGCTGCGTATATGAGTGGTAGCGGGAGGACGATGCAACTCTTCGGCTCTCCGCCTCGCCCCTACTTTATCGCTCCCGTCCATGGCCGCCTCTACTTCCCGATTCGATCCTCTGAAGGATATTCCTGATCTCTCAGGGCGTGTCGCCATCGTCACAGGAGCAAAGTAAGTAGCCATAGCCTAGAGTGCTATCTTAGGTCTAACATGCTTTTCAAAGCGCCGGAATCGGTCTTTATACTGCTTACTACCTCGCCAAACGCGGCGCGAAGGTCTACTTAGGTGCACGAAGCGAGGAAAAGGCTAAAGCAGCAGTCACGCGATTACGAGCTGAAGGTCTCGGGGAAGATGAAGGTGAACTTATCTGGTTGGACATTGACCTGAGCGACCCACGAAGAGCGAAGAAGGCTGCGCAATGGTTCATGGGGCAAGAAGTGCGGTTAGACATCCTTGGTGAGAAAAATACTCTACGCCGGACATTTCAACCACTGACGTTTTCGTCTCTATAGTCAATAATGCTGCTAAGCCAGTCCAGCTTCTTCTGACTCCTGCTATTCCACTCACTCTCTCGGCAGGACCATTGCCCCTTATGCTCGGACGGCAGATGACATATCAGATAGTATGGTCACAAAGTACGTCTTCGAACGAATTGAAACTCGCTGAGGGACTCACTGAAATATCGGACACCGGTTCAGCCACATAAGCCCATACTTGTTCACGAAGACACTTTTACCTCTACTAAGATCCACAGCCCTGCAACCAGATTCTGACGTGCGGATAGTCAATGTGAGATATACCGCCGCAGTCTTAGTAGAACAACTCCTGTTTACACCCAATCCAGCTCACGTCCGTCCTGCATCATTGGGCAAAGAACCCTAGCTACGATTCGTTAGAAGCCTTCAACCAAGATTTCGGGTCATCAGCAAATGCCGAATTTAGCCTCTATGGTGCGAAAGCTATGTTCCATTGCGTACTCAATACGACTAACCTGCGCCAGGCTACACCAAATTGGCGAACATCCTGTGGACGTCCAAACTACAGCGGTTATTCGACAAAGAAGAAACCCCTATAGTCACTGTCGCTGTCCACCCTGGGAAGGTCATGTCGGGTGAGCTGACCTTGCTCATGCACAGTACAGCGTCGACTGACGCCTGAACAGAGGGTAATGTACGGACACTCATGAGGCTCCCGTTAGGCCGTGCATGGGTCTGGGCAGCTTCCCAGCTCTTCTTGACATCCGCCGAAGGCGCGTACACCAGCATCTTCGCGGCCGCACTGCCATTAGTGAGAGAGCGCCGGGACGAGTACAAAGGAAGGTATATGGTCCCGTTCGGCAGGCTTGAGACACCCAGCAGCCATGCGCAGAGCAATGCTCTGGCAGACGAACTGTGGCAGACGACGGAACAGGTCATCGCAGACTTCGGGTTTGACTCGTGATGGTACATCCATTTGAAATTGGACTTGTGGGTATCTGTGGGGCACTACTTTCAGCTTCTGCTGTCGTTGCGGTCTATTTATTTCATCGGACTATATTTGCCATATATTTACATGGCTGGTTCATTCGGTAGAGTCTCCGAGTACTTATGATTGTCTGTTTTATACGGGTATCTGCACGTAATATATACATTCGGCTAAATTCTTGTAAGCCTTCGATAGCTCAGTTGGAAGAGCGTGGGACTGTAATTGGATATCCGTAACATCCCGAGGTCACTGGTTCGATCCCGGTTCGAAGGACGATATAAACCACGGAGGTATATTTTTTATGAGTGAAACATATGGTTATCTCCCAAGACTTCGTGGATGGTAGTCGCATGCTTTTGATGCCTCAGTGGAACTAATTTCAAGCATATGCATCGAGGCATTTGCAGCGTATCCGACTCGACGTCCGAGGAAGGATACATCAGCTCCGGTTTCATATGGAGGTACTACACGTGATTTATCTGTAGGATGTTTCGAGAGGCGTACAGAAAACATTGATGGATTGACTATCAATCCCACCTTGACCTCAAGTTCTGTCAGTGCTTTACTTCCACTTTCCTCAGGTTGCAATATACTGCATTCACAATGGCTCTCAACTGGGCTATGCTGAGCCCCGCTCGCTCGCCAATCCCGCTTCCACACGAGCTGACTATCCGGACAGTCGACGGCGGCGCCGAAGTCACTGTGATCATCCCAGATGCCCCGCCCACAAGCAGCACATCGTCTTCGGGCGGGTCAGGCGGGTCGAAGAAGCTGAAGGATGTCGGCCGGCTGTGGCTCACGGACCAGCGCGTGCGTCCCGCTGCACCTGTGCGCTGCATGACAAGTTGTTGACATGGACACCTGCGATGACAGCTGATCTTCGTGGCAGACACCGAGGGCGACGCATCGACGACCGGCATGGAGACCCTGTCTGTCCCCCTGACGTCCATCCTGTCCACCAAGTTCGAGCAGCCGTACTTCGGCGCCAACTACCTGTCGCTTGATGTCAAACCTGTGCACGAGGGCGGCCTCACAGACGGGACGCGCATCGAGATTCGCCTGAAAGATAAGGGCATCTTCGAGTTTGTCGGTTCGCTGGAGAAGACGCGGGAACGGGCGATCTATATGAGGAGACAGTCGGCTGAAGAGGAGGAAGGCCTTCGTACGTCGTGCTTCGCAGACTGAATTGCCACTAGCGCTGATGCGCACTTTCTAGCATCCTATACCACACCGGCCGAATCGGCGGGTCCGTCGTCCTATGTGGGCGGAAGCAGCGTTCCAGACGAGGCACCGCCGGGCTACGACGCCTCTCTCTGACAGAATTGGGCAGCTCACGGAAGATTTGCGCGAATACCAAATGGATGGATGGATGAGTTCCGTCTTAAGGATAGTGTGTACTAGTGTATTAGGGACTCTGAATCCGCCACGGAACATGTACTACTATCTCGTCCGGACTGCGCAGATGATCTCACTATACATCATGGTAACATAGTGCTCGATATCAAGGGATATCTAAAGGCTCAGACTCGTCTCTGTCGCCAATTCGTTTTGTGCGATCCATAGGCATCAGGACCATTTCCATCATGCCATCTGCCTCCACCGGTGGACCAGAGGGTTCAAGCCACTCTATCGAATTATCACGTACCCTATATGGCCGTAGGCCGAAACTCATCGGACTGAGAGGACGTGAGGGCACTGCCTCGATCACCCGCCCAATGTGTGTCGTGGAGACCTCTTCAGTATCGTCGATCTTGCGCAGATCGAGCACGAGCCGCTGGCCCACGACGTTGATAAGAGATAGTGTGAAACTGGCATAAACGAAGAGCTCGGCGCCCAATGTGAGGAGACGGTAATGCGAGGGGTGACTCACGTGTTTGAAAGCATGTTCTTGACTGACTGCATCTGTTATCAGTTCGGCGCTGGTGAAGGATTTTCGAAGACCTACATCAGCATAACACACCCTGCACGACACGTCAGGAGAATGCTGGATACTGGCAGCATTTCGGCTCACCAGACGAAAATGTTGAAAAGACTGGAAAACATTGCTACCTTCGCAGCCATGGCGGCTCGTCAACCCAGAAAACCTATGATACAAAAAGGCACATACGACGAAGTACACAGTACCTGAACGACATGAGCATGTTCGTCGACCGGCGATGATTGCTAGAGCTTACCGTCTCGGTAAAGAGTGTAGACTATTGGTTTATTAGTTAAGAATCGCCATCGCAAATCATGATGTCTGAGGGTCGCGATGGTCAAGCAGAAGATTGTCGTTTCGAGTAAGAGACTATCTGCCAAATTAGTCATGACAATTGTCTACATGTTGTTCGATCACTTACCCCGGCAGCCATATGCTCCACTAAGAATTTATTAGTGGAGCTTATCGCAGAATAAGTCAAGCACCTACCAAATAGTCTGACCATTACGACGGATGCCGGTGATCAAGAGAGTAATTGCATAGTCGAGAACTGATATCACTTACTAGGAATGGGGCTAACACAAGTTCCCTGCAGCATAACCAGTGGATCAAAGTCGGGGTCAACAGGATCAGCAGGGACATCTGGACGGGAGTCAGTGCAATAAGAAAATACGATGCGACAAACTCACTATCGATACTCATGAAGCCCCAGATCAGGATGACCAAGGTGCTGACTGCATATACAGTAAAGAGAGACACCAGGATGACCAATATTCTCCGTTTTCGCTCGCAGACCGCCCATGCTCTTAGTAAGAGTAGCACTGTGAATACCGTGTCACCAGTGCCGAAGACTTTGGCCGAGGAGAGTCTTACGGTGGATGGATGCGAATGAAACATAGTTCATCACGGTGATGAATGTCACAACGCTCAAGCAGAACTACGATCGTGTTAGCTAAGACATGGATATTGATGAACGCAGACGAACGTCAGGACCGCTGCCCTGCCAGATCCCAGCTGTTTGCAGGTTCGCAAGCATCAGCGCTGCGAGGTTGCCGTACCGGTTGGCCAGGAAAATGATTTTGACCGTCGAGACTCGTGTAGGCCATATGAACTCGATCTGTCAGGGAGGTCATAGGTCGCAAAGCGTCCTCAGTACGCCGCGCACAACATACCTCATCGAACAGTGTATCGAAGAATTCAAAGACCAACAACGCGTATCCCGCCCAACTTATGGCCCTAATATATATTCAGTATCTTCCATTCATCAGCATTTCAAATGGCACAGGGTATCACCTCACGAGGCGCAGGTCGCTCACGGAGTTCGCATCGAGTTGAAAGCTGTGCAATGATCGTCAGCGTTGGCAGTCTCCACAGCGTCAGGCACATACCTCATAGTCCTTTGCGGTGCACGCTAAGACGCTGCTCTACATAGGGCGGAGGACGCCCTTAGGGCTCTCCGCTGCCTATGTTTATGTCGTGCGATGGCCTGGTTGTACCTCAGCGAGTTGCTCCAGCGCGTCCACGCGTTCTGAATGTGACGTTCGCTGAATAAGGTCAAATTCAGCAATTCATCGTAGCCGAGCACTCACGGTGGCACTAAGGAGGCGGCAGCTGCGGCAATAATGCCAGCCTCGCGTTACCGCAGCCCGGCGAGTCTGCACACGTCAGATGCGTACGCTAGAGCCTTGAGGGAGCAGAAGGACGCGCTCTCAGCGGGCCCGCGGCGGGCTTTTGACGTCGTGGTGGACATACCGTCAAATCGCCATGCGAGCGCCGCCCAGAAGGGCGTAGCCGAGACTCCAGGAACGTGATTCAGTGTCACCTAGCTACCACTTGTCTCTTTTTGTCTTTTGAAGGTCATATTGGCGCAGTGCCGGTCACACATTGGCGCTCCAGTCAACAGGGGACCACAAGTGCGAGACAGGAGCGGTAGCGCGGTCCCATGCTCCTTTGTCTTCTGCCCACAAGCCAGCGGTGACAAAGACGCAAGTCGCGTGCAACTGCGGACATGGGCATGCACGAGCATATCAGGACACAAACCTACCCGCCCCCAAGATAGAATGTGAGCGAGAGCCGGTGGATCTCGGCAACAAACATAGGTCGCGGTCTGCCTATCAGATAGGGCAGATCTTCTAGCTTCTTCTAGTCTAAGAAGCGAAGCGGACTGCATGGAGAAGCACATGCCACTGGGAGGAATGAAATGTGAGGTCCCACGGAGTCACGCACAGAGCGGAAAATGCAGACGTTGCTGCACGCGACACTGACAGGCCGCGCGCAGCAAAACCGAGCGTCCAACCTCTGCGACAGAGATCTTGGTCATACATAGCTGGCAGCTTTTATTCCGCGCGAGAACAGGCGTCGGCTCAGAAACAAATAATCGGATTCCTGCAGCCCCAGAGGAGATCAGAGGAGATCCCGAACAGATCGTATCCGTGACCACCAAAGGTCGATTGCCTAGTATGTAAGTCTCCCGCGCCTTCCCGCGCACCCTACGGCGTTGTCAGCAAAAACATGAGCCGAAGCGCTGGAGCGGTGATCGCTGAAGCGGAAGCCGACAGCTCGGGACTGCCTCCGAAGATATTCGACGTCGATAAAATAAGAAAAAGGTCGTACCTCGCGACGACGGACGTCGCAGAATCGGACTGTAAAGGGATTCAACATACGAAGACTGCAACATTAATCCGCCAGCCCGCCTTCCATGTCAGATGGTATGGCGACGAAAGGTGCTATACTCTCTAGATTCTGCAAATTCTGGATGTCTAAGAGCATGCGAGCTCTGCGCCATCAAGATAGGACGCAAGGGGCAGCTTCTGGAACCTCGATGGGTTGGATACAATGCAGCCGGTGTGTGATGATAGCAGCGATGGCTCGAAGTAAGGGACAGTAGTGTTAGACGGAGGCGGGAGAAAGGAGCTATGTTCAATATGGCTTGAATTTCCTCGACTGCTTTAGCTTCTCCACCTTTGCCTTGTCTTCCTCCCACTTCTGCTTGAGGTCGATGATCTCTGTACAATCACACAAATGCTTCAGCCGGCAGTCGCAAGCACTCGGACCCACACGCACCTTTCCGCTTCTTCTCGTGTATCTGAAACGCATAGAACGCGTCCTTCTCCTTCTTCTCCTTCTTGTTCTTCCGCGCACGGCGCCCGCTCTGCTCCTCCTGAAACCTCTTGCTCGCGACGGCGACGCCGCCGCCGAGCGTCTTGCCGTACGCGCCGCCGCGCGTGACGAGCGTGAAGCCGTCCGCATCGACGACCGCCTCGCCCCTGCGGTACTTGCTCGCCTGCCGCGCCTGCGCCTGCACCCACTCGAAGTGCGCCATCCACGAGTCCGCGTGCGCGCGCACCGCGTCGAG